ACAAAAATACATTTAAGGCGCAGCGAAGCACGCCGGGTAATTGCTAGTTTATATAATAAATGTACAAACAAACATATAAATTTTAACAAGTTTGAAACATCTGCAATTGAAATTTATATAATGCGCAAGTGTTCATCTGGATTTTCCCAACAAGTGAATCTGTGATAAACTGTATCTTGTTTTTTTTTCCATTTATATACAGATAAATTAATGCATATGTATGTATGAATGTACATTTTGCGCATATGGAACATAATTTTTATTTAGCTCAAGTTGACTTTGGTACATGGGAGTTGTCAATGAGATATTCGATCTTTAAACGTTTTTCAAATTCAGATTTCTCATCCTCAGAAAAACACACCTGAAGGAGGTTGATTTTTTTGTATGATCCCTTTATGAGAAATACGTTACGTTTGTTAAACGTAAGTTGCAAATGGAACTTGCCGAGCAATGGAATGATGATCTGATGTTCGAGGATAAGCGACTATCAGTGTACGGAGCCTAAACCTCTTCCCTACGAAACAAACTGCCGGCATTTCTACCACCTGTATGAAGGAGGTGAAGCTGCACCTCCAAAATTCCGACGGTAAGTAACCCTAAAGATTCACTCATTACGTTTGAAGAGATTTGCAGAGTTTCTTGGCTTCCATGAAATGATATATCATTCCCGTATATTGCCATCACATTTACCAGTGCTGCGGCCTTGTCGATTGACAACAGCTCAGCCTGAAGCACACAAGAATGGAGGTGAAATCTGAAAGAAATCCTCAGACTCTTAGAATATTACACCATCATTAACCTTAGGTATCATGGAAATTGTAGCCATCTGTATATATGTATATACATACGTAGATAGATCCGCAGCTTCCTAAGTTTGCTCTTCCCTTCAGGGTAGCAATTTCATGACGATGTATGTATTTATGGTTGGTGATGGAAGTGCATGCTTCACTAATTCGGTAAGCACGATACAAATCTTTTCATGATCATATCTACTGCTTTAGCAACTACTTAAGGAGGCAGTGTCACATTTGCCCAAAATTTGGTGCAAATCGTATTCCAATCCTGTGAATGCAAAATTTTGCAAAATTTTAATATTTCTCAAATCCCTTTTCAATCGGGAATGTTTTTCATAAGCTTAAAAAGATACATGCATACTCTTTAGTTCTTACTACTGGCGTTTACATACAAACATATGTATGTATATTAGGGCGGAAAGATTTAATTTCGAAAAAAATTTATGGCATATTCTAACTCTACATACGTTCGATTCTAAGCCAAAATGGTAAACAAACTACCGTATATACCAAAAATGACATGTGACCCTCCCAATTTTTAAAAGAAAAATCATTGTATTATAATTTTTTCTAAAAGAATTTCATTTGCAAAAATTTTGCATTTTCTTCTTTTGCAAATTGGGAGAGCAAACGTCATTTTTGCTTAGAATTAATCATCGAATTTGAATTTGCTATACACTTTCTACGAAAATTTTGCTCTGAAGAAAGTACCCCGCCCTAATGTACATACATGTAATCATTAGAGGTAGTCACGTTCATGGTATATATTTGTAAGTATGTGGGCAGAGTGGCTAGCTTCATGATGTCATTGGATCAATGCATCTTTATGCACACAAACATCATAAAAAGACAATAATGTATGTATGTATGCATTAAGCACAACTTTTGCATAAATATGAGAGCTATCAAAATAATGTGCTTTAGATAGTTTGGAGACAGATTATAATAAAAAATATATAAATGTATAAACATAACTTCGACCGCCAGTATAAATATTATGAAATGATCTCAAGTATAATATGTGGGGCAGCAAATATGAGTTAAAAAAAAAACGTCAATCGAGTCGCAGACAATCTTCATCTTATCGATCAAATTTTCGCACAGAAAGATTAGAGTCTTATTAGCAGTAAGTGTGAGCTACAAAAAATTTTTCAGAAAGTGGTTACCGGCTTTGCTCTTGCACCAAGGCCATGCAACGTGTGACAAGTTGAAGAAAATTATAGTAAAATAACTAGAAAGAATTTCGCTTCGCATTATTCAAAAATTACCAGTCAGTGGAAAATTTGCCTTAAATGTGGAAGTGATTGGGTGATTCGAATAGTATTTTGTAGACCTGAAAACAATGCTTTAGATAAAGAAATTTCCAGTAGTGATTGACAAAACTACAGCCGCTTTTAGAACAAAATCAAATCGTTCCACAAAAAGGCAATGCAATTTTCAGGGAGCATTGGAATAAATGTATGTAGTATCCTTGAAGGGAGCGAATTTGTTGTTGGTACAGCTGCAAACGCGCTTTTGGAAAACGATGGGAACTGTCGCCATACATAAATATATGACCTTTTGTCATTAGATTGATAATAAGTTAATAAGATAAAGGGATCAGCAAGATAGCTTTAAACTGCAAAGGCTCGCATGCCGTGAGTGATTAAATAGTAGCGCACCTTTGGAGGGACTTAGCATTATCGTACACCTGCCGCTGCAGCAAATTATTGCTCATGGTGTGCTCGCAAAAGACATCCTCAGGTAACTTGGGGAGGCCAAATGACTTCAGACACGCGAGAGTATTGAGTGAAATTAAACGAAGTTGGCTTAATGAAATCAAGGTTAATTTAGAAGTCAGCATTGACTACATTGCACCAGTTTGGGGCTTGAGTACAAGATTTATGACCAGATAATAATGTATGTACTATCTTTATCCATCTAAACAGATGATTCAAAGATGAAGTAAGCAACCGGCCACGGTCAGTCAGTTTTTTCGACTGCAGATGACTACAGCGTTCTCTAAGCTACCTCTAACGCTACCAAAAGCAGTGAAATTGTCCTTTGTTGGCGGTTAGGGCTCGAAATGTCACATAGAGTGCGAAACTTTACTCCAAAAGAAAATACTCAAATTCTAGCTGACTAAGTATGTACATATGTAAATCCTGCCTAATAGTACAGCCGCACAACAATCTGCACAAGAGTTGTACAAATGATGTAATCACTGCCTGAAACTCTGCTTTACTTGTAGGGCTTTTGGTATCTTACAAAAAGTGTGAAAGAAGAAAGTTTGTTTAAGGTTTTTTAATGGTTTAAAAGTGCTAAAAATTTGACGATAGGCAGTCTTCTGGGAATCAAATTGGGCTATGAATAATTGAGCTGCTGTCACAGACCTACTTATTTCATTATTTCATCAGATAAAGGCAACAAAATAATTAATTTTTGATGGCCAGCTTTTTTAATATGTAAGTAAGAGTTTGAATAAATTTATGTATAAGTTTGTACGTATGTATGCACATGTGTACTACGTATGATTGTGTATGCAGGTTTTTGTCTGCAGTGTCTGTTTTTGATGTATTTAT